TTCCTGCTCTTTTGGTGAACATAATGAGAACTACTGACCTGATCAGTCTGATTTCTCACAGCCTGTGTTGTGACTGCAGGAGGTTCAGACCTTAGGGAAGAGGCTGTTGCCTGAGCTTTGAAATAGATGGACTGGGGAGATGTGGTTGGAGCTTGCTGTAAGAAGAGAAGCATGGAGGAGCCTCCTTTATAATAAGCTGGAGCTAAGCAATGTTTCCCTCTGGCATCCTACAGGTAGAGTGGCCAAAATGGCATTTGTGAACTCTGCAGCGAAGCCCCCTCGGGATGTACGAAGGAGACAAGAGAAGTTTGGAACTGGAGGACCTCTTCTGCCAGAGAAGACCAAGTGAGTGTTTCTCAGTAGCACCCGCTGTTCGGGGCCTCTTTTTTCCTGTGGAGTCCTGCCAGCTTCCCCCTGAAGCTTTCTGTCCTGGCAGGAGAGTACTACTGTGTCCCCAGGAGGTCTTTTTGCTGTGAACCTTGTAACTATAATAGCTGCTTTCTTGCTGGGAAGTGTGAAGATCCTGGTCACCGCTGGTTCCACGCAGTATCAGCCATGCCGCTGTTAACAAATGCGGCTTGTGTCTGAATAATTGCATCAAACCACAGTGACTCCTTTACTGAAATGTCTGTCCCATCTCTATTTCAGAATAAAACCAGTCCTGTACACATCTAGCAAAAGCCACACTCGTGTGAGTGAGGAGCAGTCCTATGACGGGCCCAGCACCAGCAGTGCCCATTCTGTCCCATCTTCAGGTAGCACCTTCTCCTCCTATGACCCCAGGAAACCACCCGTGAAGAGTAAGTATAAACTGCAGAACGTCTGTGTGGTCTCCTAGAGCTCCTCCTTTACAAAAGCATGAATCTGCTGCTTCTGTTGTAAGGGAAATCCAGGCTGTGCAGGAGGGTTGATGCTGGTGGCCTCTGTTCTCTCCCTAAAGAGAGGGTAAAGGCTGTCCAAACTTCTTGCACAAGAAAAACCATAAGGAAGCATCCGATTCACCTGCCCTGCTCAGTGCTGACTGCATCAGCCTGTCCTAATGATAGCAGTGAGGCAGAAACCCTGCCTTTTCCCTCTTGCTGTCCTTCTGTCTGTCCAGCTGTTTGGAACAATGCAGTTGTAGCGCAGCTCCCTTGGGAAGGAAGCAGGGAGGGTTTAATCAGAGATCTGTGTTCTTGCAGAGCGGGCTCTCCTCTGTCTGTGACCTGAAAATATAGGCTGTGGTCAGAGAGCGCACACACTTACACTTGTCTTGCATCTGCTTTGCCAGGGCTGCAGCTTTGAATTGCTCTCTGCTCTCCTAGTCTGTGACTGATGCTTTAATGTATGGAGTTTTTGTTTGATTTGTGGTTTTGTTTTTTTTTTTTTTCTTTCCTTTGCAGAAATTGCACCCATGATGGCAAAGACTATCAAAGCTTTCAAAAACAGGTTCTCTCGGAGATAAGTTTGCAGTGCAGATCTGGGACTTTCCCTCTTGTGGGGGAGTGGCACTGAAGGGGGAGAAGGTACCCAAACAGCCCTTTTCTTTGAACTCTTTGGAGCCTGCAGCTGCTGGGAGAAGCTTCGATCTGCACAAGACGACAGCACAGTATTTTATCTTTTATTCTGGTCCCTTTCTCAGTGTCAAGTCCTCCTCTTTTTCCCCTGCCCTTAACATCCCGTTTCTGGCTTTGTCATCCGTCAAAAGAATCTCCCGACACGAGAAAATGTGAAGTCTTGGCACCTGCTGAGAGTGGAAGATCCAGAGACTATTTACTATTTAACCTCTTAATAAATTATAAAATGGTTTTAATTAATATTTTGCCCTTCTATCCCGCTGAGATTATTTATGTTGCTCCCAGTAGTCTTCCCCCCTCTCAATCCAGTACAAGGGCCAGCCTCTCTGACTCGAGCTGGCAGGAATCCATCTGTCTGAGTGGACACTGGGTGTCACGGGAGTCTTTCCTCGTGATCTGGTACCTGCTGGGCCCAAAGTCCCACCTGGACTCTCTGGGACAGTTAGGACCGGTGGCCCCATCTGCTTATCCATTCTTTGGCAAGCGCATCAAGTCCTGAGGCTTTGCTCTCTGCTCGTGTATGTTAATAAAATCTTCGCTCTCGACCTTCTCTCTGCTCTTACTGTAGATCTTGTACAGATGCTTACGTTGTTGTGCAGGGATGCCAAGAGCCATTGGAGACTTTTTTTTTTCTTTTCTCTGCTGCTGTTGTCTTCTGCTGGCTACTGGGAATAAAACTATGAGGGGTTTTGGGAGAAATTTTATTGTGCACCAAGTCAGATTTTAACTTTTTCTTTTTTTTTTTGTGAGAGAGGGGACTTTGTCTGCCTCTGAAATTAAAACCAGTTTTTAAATATCAGAGAAGGCATCGGTTTGCCTCTTTTAGTGGAAAGAAGGAATACTTTTTTATCTTGTTTTCTGTGTGGAATTGAGAAGGATTTATTTCCAGTTTGGAAGCTGGTGCTTAAATCCTGTCTTTGCTGTATGTTTTCCTCTGCCCCTTTTTTGGAAAAAGCAAGGATTTTATTCTTTGAACCTGAAACCACTTGACTGGGGTTGGAGGCAAGTGAATAATGGAATGTGGTTTGTTTTTAATGTGTGCATACTTCAGAGCGGGAGTTTGAAAAGCTTGGTTGTACTTGATGTCTGAGGAACTGGAACTCTGGAAGGAAAGGGTGTGCGATGTGACCCAGACGCTGGGATTGGTGGAAGTATGAGGAGGTGCCCTGGAGCACAGCTTCTCCAGGGAATTGGGGGAGCCCCGAGTGTTGCATGAGGGGGGTGATTTCAGGTGGACTCGCTGAGGATGCAGCAGAGAGTGGGGAGCCGGGACAGAACTAGGCACTCGCTATTAAATGTGAAGCCTTACTGTGATGAACGTGTCTGCCTCGAAAGCAAACTTGCCCAGAGGTGGTGCAGGCAGAGGATGGAGCTGGTTAGACCCAGGCCATGTGGCGATGGAGATGGCCTCCGTTAGCGCTTAGGGGTCTGACTGGATCGGAAAGGGGGGAGTTTCAAGCCATATTTGCTGCCCTAAGACTTTGCTGTCTAGGTTGGAAAAGGTGCTGGTAGTGGAGGCTGTTGTTAGCAGCTTTTGAGAAGCTCTGCTGCTGGCTTTCTGTGGCTGCCAAATCCTGAACCGGTGGAGTTGTCTGTGCGTGCAACCTTGCTGTGAGGAGCCCTCCCTGGAGAGCTCTGGAAAAATCCATGTATGCTTCTGGTTTCTGTTGATTTCTTTCTTTCTTTTTCTCCTTTCCCCCCCCCTTTATTTTAAACCATTCTGAACACCTGTCTCTTGTTTATTTGGTCTGTTCTTCTCTTATGTTGAAGGTCTTGGAAAAATGTTCTCAGACTCTCATGTGCTGTAAGTTTGTTACAGTCCCAGATGCTTTAATGTTACCGTGCAGCATTTCAGTGTGTGTTGTGCTGTAAAATAATGGCTCCTTACTCTTGCATTTTTGCTGTATTTAATTTTGCTGTATTTTTAATTAGATAACAATATATTATCTTCTGCTGACCGTTGTGCTACCATTTATTTCTCCTCTGTACTTGGGGTAGGGGCAGAGGGGAGGGAAGCGGAGTCTGGCATGGCGTTCAGGCCTTGGGCACTGCTGAACTGCCACTTAATTAATACTACAGCTGGATCCTCACATGTGGGTATTGCCCAAAGCCTTGCTGTTACGGGCTGATGTACCTTCCCTCTCCGAGCAGCCTCTTTGCTCTAGGCTTTGCCAGCTGTGTCTGTATCTTAGCTTAGCTGGATTGCAGGGATGGGGGGGTGGCAGAGAGGATCAGATGCGACGCTGTGTCTGTGCTGAGCTGGTCCCACTGCTACCGGGACCCATGCTCCCCGCTTTCCCTTCAATTCCTAAACCAGCACAGCTGGAAGAGGTGGATTACTAGAGAGGAGGGTTACTTCTGTGCGACACAGACTAAGCAAAGTCTAGGATAAAAGCGCTTGCTCCGTTCCCAGTCTCTCGGGGCCCGGGGTGTTAACGCTTGTGCAATTTTTCTGTGCTACACTACACACGAAGGAACGGAGCAGAGCTGCCTCTTCCCCCTTCGCTGCCCCGCTGGTGGTGGGATGAGTAACGTGGGCAGGAGGGGGAGTGACCTTGACTTTGCATTTGTATTTTGGTCCCTAACTGTGTATATACAATTTTCTATGGTTTTATTTTTTTTTTTGTGGTAACTAAGATGAATATTTTAATTAGATAAGTTATATGAAAAGAAGAAAATCATGTCTCAATAAAAGCCAAACACTGGACCGTGTCTCCTTGTTCTTTTCTCTCTCTGAGCAATGAATGTTAAATACAGCATTAGGAAAAGGAGGAGGGCTGCTGCCCGGCGGGCCCCGGAGCGGTCGGGGCCGCTCCCTCCCTCCCCCGGCCGGGACA